GCTCACGCGTTTAGATTTGCATTTCAAAATATTATTACAAAAATTGATCGGTACCTTGACAACCTTGGCAACTTTCAATCGCCATTTTTGTACGTCATCATTACGACGACCAACCGTGCTAGCCATCGTTCGATTGGAACTGGGAGGATCCGAGTGATCCAAGATCGGGATCGGGATCCGGATCCCATCAATCGAACATGCCCTAAGACTTACGTCCCTTTTCCTGAAAAATAAGTCTGTACACATTACCAGACAGATATAATGTACAAACTGGGCTTGCATGCCTTTTCATGTACAACATACAACTTGTTCATAATTACAAAGCATGTTCCATATAAGCATTCATCCATATTGGAATTCCAGCCCATATTATTACCCATGTGTCATAACAGAATTGCAGCACTTCCAAATTAGGAACTCCCAATGCTCTTGGGGCCCCTAGCATTTTGGCGGCATACTTGTATCTATGTATAATTTAGTGCCTATCTCGCCTGCATAAATTCTGTTGTGGTTTTACATTTTCTCTTCACTCCGATGAGCTGCCTTAGACAGCAAAACTGGTCAGTCCTTTAAAAAGATTTGTAAAACCGAAAATATGTGTTCTGTGAAACAACTTGTGTCGGGGATGTTTCCCTCTTCAGTAAATTAATGATTGTTGTTTGGAGTGACAAGGGTTGTCGGTTCAAATTTCTTGTCAGACTCGGTGGAGGTGACCACGCTGCAGTGTTTGGCGTGCTGGCGTCTGGAGCGGTGCCTGGTGTTGGAGCTTGAGGGGGCGCTTTCCGTCGTACTCACCGATTTGAATGAGTTTGCCCGACTGGTTTGCTATGGAGCGAGTATTAAATATTGTAAGTCGGTGAGTGGCAACATGTATTGACTAGAATCATTCGGTTCCGAACGCAAATATCTGTACTCCGACGGGCGTTTTCCAAAAGCGGCCAGATAGATTTTCTTCATTTCTTCAATAAGTACTTCCAGCTATATGGTTCATGCAATAAACATTAGCTATTCGGTATTGAATCAATGTGAAGGACCTACAGTCCGTTTCAAAAAGATGAGCAATCCTGGCTATCGCCCGCGGAGTTTGCCGTCTTACCGTATTAGCACTCGAGAGCTGCCTGGAAAAACTCACTGTGAACTGGAAGAAATATTCCACGCGAAAGCAGGAAGAATGACAACTCACTCACGTTGATACAGTCATGCACGTCTCCTTTACAACAAACGAGTTCTTCCTCGTATCGGTAATTGAGTCAAAGAGAACTTGTCGAAACGAAAGTGTTGTAAATGTTGACGAGCGGCATGGGTCCCACTTCGTTTTGCGATCAAATAGTTTCTTTGAGCTGTGATGCAATTTTGTTTTATTTTTATTTATTCACCTTACCGTGGCCAGAGAATATAGGCCAATATCGACGGAGGGGGCAGTAGCCAGCCATGGCAGTAAACAAAAACAAAGCAGAAAAATAAATATTACACATTACTGGAGGCAAAGAGAAACAAACCTCGATAAATAATTAGCAGTTACCGTACTTTCCGGGGTATAAGCCGCACTTTTTTTCGCTAAAAATCGGACCAAAATCACCCCTGCGGCTTATACACCGAATATGCTTGCGCGCATGAATGCTAAGCATACATCAGTATGCATGCTGACGTCACGTTATATGTCATTCGACCCTGTGTTGCTATCCCGGCACTTCTACTAGTTCTAGTCACGGCGCGGGCTACACCATACGGTACGCGTATACGGGGACTCTATTTTGCGTACTGCAAGTGCCGGTTTCCACACATCCATACATAATAAATTTGTAGAAAGGCCATTTGTCAATGAGTGTGAAAACCAACTTTTAGTCAATATTTTGCCTCAAAACGGGGGGGGGGGGTGCGGCTTATACCCCGGTGCGGCTTATACCGCGGAAAATACGGTATTAGGGAGGTTCTGCTCTACGTTTCGGGAACATGACGCAAAGAATCACGCGAAGTCTCTTCACGTTCTCGTAACGTAAAGAAATCCTGTTCTGCTCTACTCTTCACGTAGAGAAGTCACGTGGAATGAGTGCTGGGATTTTCCCTTCTATATTTGGCAGTTTTCTGCATCAGTTGATCGATACCCAGCCAATCCGTACGCATTTTCTTTGCGTGTGCCACAACATAGAGAACCTCATCTCCGCGTAGAAATCTGGACCCAAAACATAGGGAGCTGTAGACTCTAACGCAGACACCTGCTCTCTACGTGATTTCTCTGCGTTTCACGTGATGCAGAACCTCTCTATTAGAACACGAGCTTCATATTGGCCTTGAAACCATTTAGGGTACAACACGATTTTACTGATAGAGGCAGGGCCAGCCAGAGAGAATAGGCAGCGAAAAACGGAGATCTGGTATAAGCTGATGTTCGGGCTTTAGGTAAAGTGCAGGGATTGCGCGTAGAACGAGTGGGAAGAAACCAGTTATATTTACGCAAGTGTGGCGGGGCTTTGTCAAGACGAATAGAATGAACAACAATACACAGTTTTCGATCTGCTTGACTAGAGATAGGGAAGGTTTGCGGAAAAGGACTTTCAGTATCCTCTTATTGTGGACTTCCAGGGTACTCATTAACGATTTACTTAGTAGGGATGACCAGGTGGTTGAGCAATAGAAAAAATGGGGAGAATATATCAATGATAAAAAAGTAGGGCTGAAACGATCATTCAATAACTCCTAACGATCAACCAATATCATTAACGATCGATATATTGGTTTTATTGATTCTTGTCAGCTCTATCGAACACCAGTTTATGAAGAAATTCTATGATACCTTTGCTACGTTAGAAATTTGTGGCACCGCACTGTTGACATCTGTAGATATCTGGCTCGTTTTGTCAACACGAACTACTCAAGTAGAGAGCTTCATGTTGTTTCTAGAGCGAAGAATCTTGTCGTCACTCTCTGGCAACTGCTCTCATCTCTGACTTCTCCCACGAATGAACTGAAAAGGCAACGTCTTCTCTCCCGATCTCTTTCAAAGACACAAATCAATTTTACTGCACTTGAAAGTACATGATTGTACTCGTATTCACTATCGGATGGAGTGCAAGGGCTAGAATACTGTCACTAATATGCATGCATAAAAAATCGTTAGCACTCGTTTTGAACACTAACAATTATCGATTGCACTCTTAACGATCGATATGCGAGTTATCGGTATAATTGTTTCAGCCCTATAAAAAAGGCAAATGCATTCAAGCGGTAGGTGGGAGCAATGAGACACGAGATAGCCAACAGCTTTACTGACTTTGCTACAGATATAGTCGACATGTCAACTAAACGATAAGTCTGAGTCAATAACCAAACCAAGATGCTTGTGTTGCTTTACCACTGTGAGATCTGTGAGGGATCTGGGAAGAGTAAATGATTAGGTTGGCTCTAGAGTTCGGCAGGAATAATATCTCAGTCTTGGCGATATTAGGTCTTAATCTCCAGGTAGTCATCCACTGATGGACTTAGTTGATGCCGCGATGGAGACTGTCTCGCAGCCTCTCTAGACACTCATTGAACCGGAGCAGTGCAGTATCGTCAGCCAATAAGGACACACCTTCAACATGACTGGGAAGATCATTAATATACACTAGGAAAAGGAGGGGCCCTAGGATGAATCCCTGCGTCACTCCGGACAGAACAGGTGAAGCATCTGAGAGAAGTCCAACTACAAAGACAACTTGCGTTCTGTCGGATAGGTAGTCTGTTATCCACTCTAGCGCTGCGCCACACACACCGAAAACTTTGGAAAGTTTAGCAAGTAATGCACAGTGCCACACGGTGTCGAAAGCTTTCTCGAGGTCGAAAAAGCACATGGCAACTTTCCGCCCCATATGACGATGGTCGGCAATGTTTTGGATCAGCTTGGTGAGCTGTAGAGCGGTCGAGTCACCACGACGAAACCCAGATTGCGCGGGATCCAGAGCAGGAGAAATATGATTATATAATTGATTGAAGAAGACCAGTTCGTAAAGTTTGGAAAGACAGGACAGGAGGGAAATTGGGCGATAGTTACTCGCTTGGGATTTGCTGCCTTTGCACTTGCAAATAGGCACAAATTTAGCCAGTTTCCATTCAGTAGGGAACTTGCCTGTGGTAAAGGAGAGGTTAAATAGGTGGCTAAGTGGAAAAGAAATCGCAGGAGCTAGTTCTTTCTTGAAGGAATGCACAATGGAACTTGTAAAGACACTATCTCAGCTCTTTGCTTCCAAAACGGAGTTCTACCTGGAAAAGTCTTCCACGAGCGGCGTTAGCTTCGGGTCATAAAGGGTACATGGGAATCATTCAACGAGATACCATATCCCGAAATCCCATTTGCTACATCTTAACCCTTTAAGAGCCGCCCCATACTTGAATGCGTCGTTTACGACGCATTCAAATGCAAAACTTCAACAGATCGTAACTCAGTCCAATCTCGCTCAAATCCAGTGATCGAAATATCCAGGGCGAAGAGAAAACGCTCACCTGTCGGGAGAAACAATCCGCGAAGCGCTGCGAGCAACGGTTCTCGAGATAAATCACTCGTAAGTTGAGCCGCGATCGCGGCAATTTCAAAAGCGCGCAGTGCGACTTTAGTATTGAGAATTTTGAGACTTTTCGTCACGCTGGTTTACTCGGATTTGCACGGGTTTCACTGTTGATATTGTCAAGAGTACACAGCGAAAAAATTGGAACTCCACGATCGAGTAAAATGAAATATCTGGAGCGGGACGCAATTGGACGCATTTGGGGCATTTTTCGTACTGTCGCTGCGATCTAGCGCTGGATAGACGGTGTGCTGGCTATCATGATCGACCTCATTCTCTCCCTCTCGCGGAGACCTTTCCAGGAAGCCCTAGATTGTGAGGATTGAGTGAGTAGAACTGAAGCTATGATCCAAGGAACACGAAAAAATGCAGAATTTTGAAATTTTCCTGTGGCTCTTAAAGGGTTAAAAGAACTACGACAAAAACGCCTTTTTACGGTACATTCACAACATGACTTACAGTACTTGTAATTTGGTTGTGGCTTTGAACAGCCCGTCAGGTAGGTGAACAAGTTGATTATCATTCAATTCTCTGGGAGAACAAAGTAGAATTTGGATAGGATGTATGATCCTGGAAGAATATTGCGCACTAGTTTGTAGGTGGATTGTGTGGATTGCAGTGAGGGATGCGTCCCACCCGCCTGTATAGATTCACACAAAGTGTGAGTTACGAAGTCTGAAGAAAATGTTGAACGGTTTCTGCTGGGATGACCACTACACCATAGCTCAGTGGTTACAGCATCGCTGGCTACAAGCGAGGGTCACTGGTTCGTGTCTTGGTGGAGTCAGGCAATTTGTTCTTCAGACTGCTCCTGCTGCCATTGCCGTCGTTGCTGATCTTGTCATTCTTCTAGTTGATGCGGTTCCTGTCACTGCCATGCCAGTAAGTGTCTTGTCCGGTTGTTTTTCGGGTGGTCTAGTTAAATGCGAGGTGACATTGCTTGGTGTTGATGCTGCTGTGTTAGATCATCTTGTACCAGGATGATTCTTTGCTGGACGTCTCCTGTTGTTGGATGCGTGCGTCCAGATGTTGACAAGATCGGCAACGATGGTGATGGCAGTCTAAAGCACTGACATCAACGCCAAGCAACAGCAAAGATCGGCACTGACCGCGATGGCAGCGTCTAAAGCACTGACAGCGGCAATGGCTAGGCTCCACATGACTAGCAATTTGGTATCGGATGTGCCCACCGCACATGCTGATTATTTTGATGTTAGTTCTGATAAGTATGAGTCGTCCATTGCTAGTCATTTGTTTGAGCATCCTGATTGTTGTGCTGTGTATTCAGATGATTTTGTTCGATTGTGTCATGTGTACGCATTGCTAGATTGTTTTGAAGCCGTATACATCCACACAAAGAAACCCAACCTTTGCAAGCAAGCAAAAGCAAATTAAATTCACACTTGGGCTGTTAGGTAGGTTGTCAAAACCTCGTTAGTTATGTCCAGTGATTGTCTCTTGTTGTCGCATTATATGTCACGCTGATTGAGTTTTCTCGCACTTGCACTTTTGTGTCATTATTGCTATGTGTACAGGTCACACATTTTCGCTGTTTACTTTAGCTATCTTCTTCTTTGCGCTGCTTGACCACCTCCTTACCGTACTTAATTTAGTGTTCCTTTTCCTTTTCCTTTGCCTTTATTTCACCTGATGAGAAGGCTTCAAGTGAAAGTATACTTGTGAAACCGAACTTTCAAGATTTTCGTAAAGTCCTTTTTATGAGTATTGTCGCATTATTGTCTCAGAGGAAACTGTCTATATAAGCAGTAAAACAATAAGTTATGATTTTAAATAGTTTTACTCGGATGGTGAGCCAAGCTAATTACGTTAAAAGAGGAGAAGGACAACCTGTCACGAGTTATGACTAGGGACCATTAGCAAGCCGTGAAACTTTTACGCGAAGGGGGAGCTGGTTTAGAGACCATTCGTGACAATGTGAAACATGTTCGTGTCTCAGGAGTTCAGAGGGAGTACTCGTCATGACCACTATGAGTGGGTTTTTAGGTATTTCTCAAATTCCGAAAATGTCTCACCCATTCTTGTTGAAATAAAGCCGAAACTGTCGCAGTGCACACACCTCCACGCATACCGGCAGAGAAGGCAGCAGCACGGGCAGCACAGAGCGGAACAGCGGAGCTGAAACTGACTCTCACCGTACCGATTTGGCACCAAAAGCGGCCCAGAGTTTGACCCACGCCAGCGCCGTATCCGAAACCGCCTCCGACGGTGCCAACACCACTCCGAAAGCGGACCTGCTCTCCAGCTCGCACCAAATGACCCAGTCAACGACCAGTACGAACATGGCATTATATCGCCCATGTCGGCAACCAGCTCGACTGTGCACCCTGAAACGCCGCCAGGCAGCACAGGTACAGGTACGACAACATCCAACCTCACCGCACACGGACACAACCACTCCTACCACCACAACATGCAATCACCCAGATTCTGCGCTTGCTGAATATCTCCTATCCTCACTGGTGTCTAACACAGACATGTCTAAACAGCCAACAAACTGGATCACCTCCGAACAAGGCAGGAGAACCAGTCCCAGTGCCTTATGCTTCCGGTCTGGAGTCCAACCTAGGATGTGGAAGACGGCCACCGTGGTTCTCATCCACAAGCGATCTTCCCGCTCGACTACAGGCCCATATCCTTACTGTGCATAATCTCGAAAATCATGGAAACTCTAGTAAACAGACACATCGTAAACTATTTTGAGGACCACCATCTGCTCACGTCGCACCAGTTTGGATTTCGCGGAGGCCTCGGAACATCAGACACTTTGCAAGCTCTCCAAACTGGCTGGGGCAAGCGCTGTGGGCTGTGGAGGGCGGCGCGTATCCTTGCTGTGGACATCACAGGAGCATTTGATCGTGTCTCACATGTCGGCCTCCTCCACAAGATGCGAAGCCTAGGCATCAATGGTCTGCTTCAGAGATGGCTGGCCCCGTCCCTCGACACCCGTTCCTTACAGTGCCTCGTTGGAGGCGTACGTCATCTACGTACACGACCACCGCTGGAGTCCCTGAGGGAAGCATTCTTGGACCAACACTTTTCCAGGCGTACGTCAACGACACGCGAGATGTTCTTGCTGACGTCGACAGCCACAGCAGCCCCTGGGGCATGACATTGTTTTCGTCGTTCCCCTGCGCAGTGGTAGGTTCTTTTACGTCCAATTCCCTGCTCTCCCAGGGAGAGTATGGCTACCATAGATTTTGGTATTCTGGATAGCTAGGGACAGAAAGCCTAGCAAGGGCCAACAATGTGAACTTGGCCAGCCTCAGCCAAGTTCAGCTCGTCGGAGCACTCCGGGAAAAAAATCCAGCCAAATGATCGAGTAGCATTACAGACTGGGCTACCAATGGACCGACCCTCAAGCCGCCAGCACCAGGATGCTTACGATCATGAATCAGCTGAGGGAGACAGTGCGCCTTCTTGTGGAAGATATTGCGGACCTGAAAAGTCTAACAGCCTCCAAAGAACAGAAAAAGGATTGCGGACTTTCGAGAGGAGATTCGGGCTCTCCAGGAAAAGAACGTCTAATTCCAACGTGAAAGGAATAATCATTGGAGCCAGCTGCAGTACGTGCTGGGGGGGATTCCTACGCATCCCGGATAGTCACTCTATTGATGGAGGTAGACGGTAGAGGTTCAGGGGTTTACGTCGGGCCCTAGACGACGGCTACAAAGGCCAACTGGACAACAAAGAAGGTGACGCCTAAGAGAATGTTTTATGATTGTGCGCATGCTTATAATGTGATAGTGACGTCATTCCGCTACAGTACTCCCCCGCCATTGGTGAGGCCGGGAGGCACGAAGCACGATAAACAAGAAAAAGAGAGAAAAGAAAGGAAGCGCGACATGTACAAGGCGGAAAGGCAAAAATAGAATACAATATGTACAAGAGAGCGCTGCGTGTATGAAGTTTGTTGATAACGTGGCAACAAAGACCAAAACAAAACTCAGAAAGCAGAAAGTGGAAAAGAGAGAGATGCATGACAGAGGCGGGTGTCAGAGTTGGAAAGAAAGAAAAGAGGGAATGTACGCGTGACAGAGGAGTGTTATCATGTAAGAGGCGGCTGCAACGTACCAGTCACTGAGTACAGGAAACACTGGGGCGAGGCGTGCCGTGTGAGGCGAGGACTGATGGAGGCGTGCGTACCTCCAAGTGCTGTGCCGGGCGTATGCCTGCAAACTGATACTTAGGGTGGAGGTGGCCAATTTCCATCTTGAGGCCAGGATGAATACAAAGGACGAAGACGACTGAACGATGTGCTATGACAGGATAGCGGGTTATCCAGGTGGGCCCGGAGGTCGGCAGGGGCCACACTAGCTCCGAGGCGGATCCAGTTTCGAGATGGTGAGGCTCAAGTTTTCCAGTCAACAGTCGGCGATTGACTGAATCCCGAGAATTGAGGCGAGCAGGGAACTGCGGCAAGCCGAGCTCAGGGATGGCATGATGAAAACTCCGAAGAGCGCATGTCGGGGTCACCAATTTAGGGTTTTAGGGTTTTAGCAGTCCGAGGCGGATCCAGTGTCGGATGATGCTGAGATTCAAGTTTTATGTTGCCGGCCGGCGCTTGACGGCAACCCACGTGTTGAAACGAGCAGGAAACTGCGGCGGGAGCTCAGGGATGGCACGCATCGGGCATACTCCGAAGTGGGCAGCGTGTGGGGTCATCAGTTTAGGGCTTTATGCTGCGCTCTAGTCGACGGCTACAATGGCCAACCGAACAACAAAGAAGTTGAGGCCAAAGAGAACGTTTTTTTCTGACGCACGACTATAATGTGATAGTGAAGTCAGGTCGATACAGAGGTATCTGTACGCGAATTTTTTTCTTCTGTATTGAGTTTTGTACAACTACAGTCTGTATCGGCTATTGAGTGACCGGATATAAGAATATATCGGCTACAGTGATATTGGTAAGAAATATCAAGGGCAATACACCACACAGCCACATTGCGCTCTTAGCCGATCCAAACTCTGCACTCACATCACCAACACCACAGAAACAGATGTCTGGAGGGTCATTGTCAATATCAATCTATATACCGGAATTGTCCTCTTGTACTTTTCGCTGCTGTTATTTTGCTATCTTTCGCTGGTTTTGTAAACCTGAAACACTGACATGACATTTCGGAATCGTAGGAAAGCATGATTCATATTTTGGAGAGCCGACAGTCGTCACAGAGCAAGGCTGTCAACGCTGCAAAAAAATAAGAGAGAACTTTTCTTTCATTCTTTCGTCCACCAGGCGCAATGGGAAGAAAAGCACTGCCCTCACATCTCGTTGTAGCTATTTTTCAGTTCAGACCTTGACAGATCAGGACAATGGCACCCAGGAGCAAGAAGAGTGGAAAATGAATAGCAATAGCAGCTAGCGTGTCGAACCTTCGCCATGATGTCAAAACTCCATGGCTATCTGCATTGGCCATGATCATCCTTAGCAGACGGAAGGTCATTCGTAGCTGTCTACATACAACTGTATCTGATACAAGGCTGCTCTTGGTTCTGCACGGGTTTCGGTACAGGGTGGATGAAGAACCACTTTTGCGCTTACGTTGGTTGCGACCAACTTGTGAGTGTCATCAGGTATCGGTCATAAAGGGTGGGGAAGCGTACCTGAGATCAACCAACGAGATGCCACTGGGCACTGGCGGATAATCATCGAAAAGGTGGCAGATTCTGCTCGAACAGCAGTGAAATTGGCAGAACGATACAAACCTTATGGCGAGCAATTTGTCGAATTTTCCTCCATTTCTTTATCCACATACCAAACATGCATGAAATTTACAAGAAAAAGTACCGAATTCTGCCAATTTTCTGCCAGCATTATCCGCATATGCCTAGATGCCACATCTTAAAAGAACAGAACAACGCCAAAAAAAAGCCTTTTTACGATGCACAACATGACTTACAGGACTTTCAATTCGGTTGTCGCAACAAACAGCCCGGCAGGTAGTTGAACAAGTTTATTCCAACGCAAAGTCCTGGAAGAACAAAGTAGATTTTTGATAAGATGTATAATCACTTCCTGGAAGAATTTCTTAATACTCTTTATACCGTGTTTTACACATTTGCCACATCTCAAAATAACAGAACTACGCAAAAATCTCTTTTCCGATATATGCACCCCATGACTTGGATAAGATGTACATTGTGTAGTATCCCTGCCTTGTTTGTAGCGTATCCTCGTACGTAAGCGTATCCCCATACATTAGCGTATGTGGTCTGTTGCCTATAAAAGCTGCTAGCCATTTCTGTTTTCATGAGATTTTATAACAACAACAAAGCCGGACAGAAGAGCTGTTCAACCTCCATGTGTGTACAAGAGAAAGTTCTTTTTATTGTCTCTTTTTTTTTCGAAGAGAATTGGTGAGCACACATGCTCATTCCATGTGCACTGCAAAGTCACAACTCATTTTCATTTCTCAGAATCATTTTCAACGTTTTTGGCAAATTGCCCTCATCAGGATGCTGTATGAAGTGGAAGTCTGCAAAGGAGAAGTTATATACAACAATTTGGTGTTCTTAGGTGTCATTCAGGTTCTCACATGCAACGGGAAGACTTCGCGGTAGTAAAATAGATATTTCGCAAAAAAACAAAAAGACAAATCTTTCTCTTCCTTTCGAAGAACCGAACTTGCCGAGCCTCTCCGAAAGCAAACTCTGAAAAAGCCCTACACTAGTACGGGATTCAGCGCAGAGCAAAACATAATTATGAGTCATTATACAATGCATGCAGTGTAGCCGTGAAAACAGGTGAATAAAGAATGCAGTAGGTTGGCAGCACGTGACCCGTCGTACCGCAGTACACGACGGCGTCGCGGCTTAGAAATGAAAGGAAACACTGCGAGAAAAGACAAAACGAAAATACATGTCCCTTTGTCAAAACTAACTTAGAAGAAACAAACAAAAGGCGACCAAGAATCATTTTGAGAGTCAACGTCAATACTATTGTGCGGTTGTGCAAATTCTTGCCTTGCACTGTGCAACGCAAGAACCAAACAACCCACGAAATGACTCGTGAACTAACTGTAGGCTAAATCACCACATGTACGCGAAATTGCGTTCCAAAATAAACTGAATTTCTGAGACATTATATATTTCACATCCTAAGAGAAATAGTGAATAAACAGTAAATACATCATAAAAAAACACATGGCCACGACGGCCATCCCAACATTAGGTGTTAATATTTCTATGACTACACATGTTACCTCAGTGCTAGAAATATGACATGTCTAGGTGGCGACACAAACCGGCCCGATGAGCCACCACGCCTACCCTCCCCCACCGCCGCCACCAGCGACGGCAGAGCAAGCACAGTCTGTGAGCCCGGATCCGCAAGTTGTGTAGGTAACGGTTGTTTTCTAGGTCGCCCTCGCTTCGGTCTTTGTTGTTGTGCGCAAGGTGGAAGGATGTGATGTGGTGTGTGTTTTTTGATGCGTGCGTTCAGGTGCTGAACAGCCCTACCAACATACCGACTAGCGCATTGTCGGCATTCAAAGTTGTAAATAAGATGACTAAGGTGAAGGGCTGGTGGGACATCCTTCCGCACCGTAAACGCACGCATCGTCGTAAAAAACTGGCACAAAGTGTACTGCATAGTATGTTCGACGAACAACAGACTTGACTGCACTACAAACTTTAGTCGACTCCTGTCCTTTCCAAGGCAAACATAAATAGACGGGACAGCGAGCAGGACCAAACAAAGGAGCCTTAGTAGTTTGTTCGACTTTCAACAACTTCTGCAACAAAAACTCAGGGTACCCGTTCTTAACGAAAACTGACCGGAGAAAGTCAAGCTCTTCCTGCAGCTTACAGGACGAACAAATACGCTTCGCACGGTCTACAAGGTTACGCACTAAGTTTACTTTATATTGAGACGAACAATAAGAGTCATATACAATGTACTGACCAGTAAACGTCGGCTTACGATAAACGGTTGTCAGAACGTCACTACTCGTTTTTTTCCACCAGCACATCTAGAAATGACAACTTGTTGGACTGTTCATGCTCACATGTGAAACGAAGGGCAGGGTGAATACCATTTAACACGTCCAGAAACTCGTTACTACGCTCCTCATTATAAAAATATGTGAATGAGTCGTCCACGAAACGTACATAAAGGTCAGGCCACAATGAATCATCAATCTTCGAATCACAGTAAGGCCACCCTTTGTTGATTCATTGTTTAACGTCCTTTTTTTCGCGAAAAGGTACGCGGGAGGGCGGAAAAAAAACAAAAGCCCATTCCAAAAACTGGAAACCCCAATCAAACATTTTGACCAATAAAGCATGTGATATATACAATATTTCTGGGTCTAACGGCACTTGCAGGCATAGAACAACACTCTTTGATGGTACATTGGAGCACATGCCTGATGAATCCAACAAAACAGGTACATAGCATGGAGTTAGCATGTCATGAATTCATTACATCTGGATTTTTACTAGGACACACACCGTACGATATTTAAAAGCCAACAAAAAAAGAAAAAGAACACAAGATAAAGGCATGCCCGGGAGGCAAGATTATAAGTTTAAAGGGGAAGTGCATCGATTTTTCAAGTAGGGCTCAGATGAAAGACAATTCGATATCGGTTCCGATGGTACATCTCTCGCTTGCGTACGGCAAGGGAAACTTGCCATATCGCCGATTTACCGATCCCGTTTCCATGGCGACTACAGGTGATGACGCACATTCTGCTTAGCTCCGTGAGAGCGAAGGTCGATCACTGCAGAATTGTGTCATTTTCAGTTGTCTTCTTGTATTCACGAAGTGAAAGAAGTACTGTGTTCAATGCTGTTAGTGCCGTGAACTGTTCATCAGTAGTCCTCTCCGTTGTGTACTCACTACTGGGACGTTTACACCGACAGGGGAAAGCTGGAGTGCGGAGACGTTAGCTGGCAAGCGAAAATCGTGACGAGCCAAGTGCTGAAATCTTGGTTGGGACAAATCAAACGTTCAGCATTTACCTCAACCAAGGACCATGCCGTTTGCTCTTTCCACTTCCTGAAGATGGATGCGCTGCCTGCTGAAGACTCTCCTATCTCTCGTAATATCTTCTGAAGCCAGGTGAGACGACGAGTAGCGGAGATTAGCGAACGAAATAATGTCGTATGATTTGAAATTTTTGCTGAACATATCTCAGGAGAGATGGCATGTATGAATTTAGTCCATGTGAACTCAATCAGCCCATGAACTAACCCATGAACAAATGCTTCCCTTGCAGACATGAATGTGTCTATCCAATCTACACGTAGAGATCATTCCATGACCTCAGTGAATGGCCTATTTATACAAATAATATATTATATTATTTGTCCATACACTTCATCTGCATGTTGTCTCTATGGAGAAGGGTATTGTTCATTTCATATGAAGAAGTTCGGGCAATAGATGCTTTCCTCTGGTACAATTCTGTTCACCTGATGTTCTTTCTAGCTTCATGGGTAGCTTAGGTGAGGTACCATCACCATCATGTTTACATGAGGGTCAAACACTGCACCGTTCTTTGTCGTGACATGACGTAAGTTATTGTAAGTGCTCACAGACTCCATACGTCCCAGCAACACCTAGCATGGTTTCCCGTGAACGTTGTGGGTGAACTAATTCCTGTCCAACATATTTATACAGACATGCCAGCACACACCATGCACCATACACCATACACACACTTGCCCTGCCCTGTCGAGTCACTGCCACGTGGGCCCGGAGGGGCAGTGAAGAGAGAATGGGAGAACGCCGCCCCATGGCACCCGGGACACAAAAACAAGAGTTTGTCTATGTAGGGAGCAACACACATACATACATACACATGCACACATGCACACACACACACACACACACACACACACACACACACACACACACACACACAATGAGAGTTCGGGTCATCTGCCACGAGACTGACGTACGGCCGCGGAGAGCTTCAGCAGCGGTGTCTATTCCTGCCCTGGACCGAACGGAAGCAGCGGTCGCAGGACACACAGTATTCACCACAACACGGCTCCACTGTCGTTGGGGGCTGAGCCACACACTTGTGACGGGCAAGAACGCCATAGCTAAGAAAGCAACGGCCACAGCGATCACACTGGCATGCTCCACGCTGCTCCTGCACACTCTCTCTCGCTCACACACACACACATACACACACACACGTGAGCACATACTGCAAGAAAGAAAGAGAGCATGGGTGTCACATTCTTGCATAGGAAGTGTTTATCAGCACACACTTCTACATGCACATGCAGGCACTCAACGACCAACTATGCACCATGCCGTAAGTTCGTCAAACGTAAGATTGCAATACCAAAGAACAACATTAACAAGATCACTTACTTCGTTCTCCTCCAAGTGTGTCCTCCCCAGCCAGGCCGTCTCCTGCATTTCCCTAGGCGGAATGTAGCCTACGAAATGGTTTCTCTAGACTAGGAGAAGATGCTTGGTATTCGCCATCTCTCCTGAGAAATGTTCAGCAAAAATTTCAAAACATACGACATTATTTCGTTCGCTAATCTCCGCTACTCGTCGTCTCACCTGGCTTCAGAAGATGTTACGAGAGATAGGAGAGTCTTCAGCAGGCAGCGCATCCATCTTCAGGAAGTGGAAAGAGCAAACGGCATGGTCCTTGGTTGAGGTAAATGCTGAACGTTTGATTTGTCCCAACCAAGATTTCAGCACTTGGTTCGTCACGATTTTCGCTTGCCAGCTAACGTCTCCGCACTCCAGCTTTCCCCTGTCGGTGTCACGTCCCAGTACACAACGGAGAGGACTACTGATAAACAGTTCACGGCACTAACAGCATTGAACACAGTACTTCTTTCACTTCGTGAATACAAGAAGACAACTGAAAATGCCACAATTCTGCAGTGATCAACCTTCTCTCTCACGGAGCTAAGCAGAATGTGCGTCATCACCTGTAGTCGCAATGGAAACGGGATCAGGAAATCGGCGATATGGCAAGTTACCCTTGCCGTACG